TCATTCACACAATTCCAACTGTTTTTTCTGACCTCAGAGGGTTTGATTTAACGCTTTCTTCCTACCACAGTGGAAGGAAGGGACACAGACACTCTTCTCAGAGATAGGATCTCCAGAATTGATGCTTCCCCCAAAATGTCCATTGGCTGTCAGAAGGAGCCTCCTTTTCTTTAAGAAAACTCCAGTGTTTTTAATTGTGAGCACTTCCCTTCGCTTGAAGCCCCCAAACCCTAAGGTGATTCCTGCCATTAAGAGGATTTAGGGGCCAGGCCAGGTGCAGTAGTAGTTCACACCTGTAATCCCAGCATTTTGGGAGGCCGAGGCCGGCAGATCACCTGAGGCTAGGAGTTCGAGACCAGCTTGACCAGCATGGTGAAACCCCAACCCTACTAAAAGTACAAAAAAAAAAAAAAAAAAAAAGCCAGTCTGGTGGCAGGTGTCTGTAATCCCAGCTACTTGGGAGGCTGAGGCAGGAGAATCACTTGTACTGGGAACCGGGAGGTGGAGGTTGCAGTGAGCTGAGATCACGCCACTACACTCCAGCCAGTGTAAGAGAGGCAGACTCTGCCTAAAAAAATGAAAAGACTTAGGGCTATGGAATTAGCTATGGTATCCCCAATGTCCCCAGAATCTATTCAGCTATTTTGCAGCACATCAGGCATCTCTGAAAGGCTCCAAAGTTAAGAAATTCCCAATCATTTGTGAATTCTGATGGAGCCCAGAATTGTTTCTGTGGCTCATAGTAGGTGTAGGAACACCCAGTGTCTAACCCTAGGTCCTTCTCTGAAGGCCAGGTTGTCCAGAAACCCCATGAGTTTCCTCCTTCATCACATAAGGATGTGTGCACCCTGGAGGCAGAATCAGCACCTGAGCTACTTCCAGGTCAGTGATGGTGTCCAGGCTGCCCCCAGGAACTGATTGGTTGTGCCCTGATTGCCCCCAGAAATCTTTTACCTTATCTTCTCCTGGGAAAAAAATCCCAGGAACACCATAGTCCTAACTGCCACTGGAAGCATTGGAATCCAAGATAGAGATCCCAAAGATTTCTTTAGCTTTTCTGGAGTAAATAGGGGCTGTCACATGGCCTCAGCTTAGAACAAAAGCCAGCAGTCATTAGCCAGTATTCCTATTGAGTTTATAGATGACTGTGAAGATCTCAAGGTTGGCACAAGGATTCACAGATCAACTCTGGATGAGGTTAATGCTATCAAGAATTAGCTCCAAACCTGCAATTATAGATTGCAATCTGGCCACATTCAGAGACCCTCAATTCTGAGATCTCTAGAAACTTGTCCTAGTACTTCTCTAGGATAGGGAAAAAAGCCCTGTATATACCAGCTTTTAGGCTTGAGAAATTAATAATAGTGAAACAGAAGGCTTCTAGGTGAACTTGGCCAGCTTCTTGGGAAATGTTGACTTAATGTGAAGAAACACCATATGTCTGAATATCTATCTCAGTATCAGGTACCTGATGTCAGAGGTTTTTACTACAAAAACAAACAAGGACAACAAAGTCATACAGTTACCCCAAAACCCTATTATCCCCACAGTGAGACATCCAAAGAAGAAATGGCTCTGCAAGGCGTACACAGAGGGCTGAATGTTTGTGTCCCTCAAAATTCATGTGTTAAAATCCTAGTTCCAACGTGATATATTTACAGGTGGGGCCTTTAAGAATAATCGGGTCATGAGGGTGGAGCCCTCTTTTTTTTTTGAGACGGAGTCTCGCTCTGTCGCCCAGGCTGGAGTGCAGTGGCCGGATCTCAGCTCACTGCAAGCTCTGCCTCCCGGGTTCACGCCATTCTCCTGCCTCAGCCTCCCGAGTAGCTGGGACTACAGGCGCTGCCACCTCGCCCGGCTAATTTTTTGTGTTTTTAGTAGAGACGGGGTTTCACCGTGTTAGCCAGGATGGTCTCGATCTCCTGACCTTGTGATCTGCCCGTTTCGGCCTCCCAAAGTGCTGGGATTACAGGCTTGAGCCACCGCGCCCGGCCGGGTGGAGCCCTCTTAAGTAGGATTAGTGCCCTTACAAAAGGGACCCTCTCACCTTCTTTCTGCCATGGGAGCCTACGATGAGAAGTCAACAGTCTACAAACGGGAGGAGGGCCCTCCAGGAGGGCCAGAACTCAACAATGTTGGCACCTTGATCTTGGCCTTCTTGCCTCCGGAACTGTGCGAAATCAATTTCTGTTGTTATAAGCTACCCAGTCCATGGTTATAGCAGCACGAGCTAACTAAGATAACACAGACCATCCCTCACGGGACAAAGGGCCTTCATTAAGCCCCAAATGTCTTTCAAGGACCTGGGAACCTGCTGAGCCATCCTGCAGTCAGTCTCACAAAGGTTACTGCTACCTTTGCATCAGATTTGTTACTTCCTTAACAAAGGTCCGCAAGACCAACTATTTTTTCTTACCTTTACTCAAAAGCAAAATATGTTTGCTATAACAATTCAAAAGGAAACATAGTTGTTTATAAAGCAAAACTAGGTTTCTCCCTTCTCCACTTTCTCTGGGGAAATCTTATATGAATTTTTTATACTCTTTTCTATGATATATATATCTAATATATAAAAATATAGATAGATACAATATGTATCTATATATATCTAATATAAATAACATATAGGATATTATGTTTTTAACATAAATTATGTCATAAACACACACACATATTGAAGTTTTTCCAGGTTCATTTGTTTCACTTTGTCTTTTTAAATCAATGCGTCAGTAGACATTTTCCACCTTATCTTTCTCCACCATCGCTCTTAGTTAATAACTTTCCTTTCATCCATAAGTTAGATAATCATGAGGGAACTTTCACAACAACCCTCCTACCAACTACTATGTTCAGATTCTCTGCCTTCTCTCCTGTTCCTATGGCTGCCAGGACACTGCCTTCTCCTGGTTTTCTTCCTTTACAGTGGTCACTCATTCTTAGTCTTGATTCTGGTTCCGCTTCATATTCCCAAGCTCTGAACTGTAAAGTTCCCCAGGATTCATCCTTAGACCTCTTATTTTCTCAAGAGACAGTCAATCTCTAGTGATCTGATCCAGTTCTGTGGGTTTCAATGCCATATCTACACTGATGCTTCCAAGTCTCCATATGGAACCTCTTTCCTAAACTTCAGAGGAATGAGTCTATTTGCCCACATCAAACCTCCACTTGGAGGTCTAACAGGTCTCTCAAACTTACCATGTCTGATCTCCACTGCCCCCTCTCCCCAGTTGTTACTGTTGTTTTCAACATAGTAGCATTAGAGTAAGTTTTACTATATGGTAATGCAGGAATTCTCCCATTGTTATTTATCAATATTTTCTTCAGGTTCTATTGAATAATCGTACAAGTGCTTACACTGGGCTTACAAAGATATAATTTTGAGCAAGTCACCTTCCCCTCTCTAGGACTCATTTGGAAAATCAGGTCAATAGTTTTCAGTTGTCTCACGGCAGTTCAGCGAGGTAGACTCTAGTTTTCACTTTCCTCGGTGTTCCTGGAGATTACTCTCACTTTAATTCAAGCTCTATTACATTTCATCCAGATTCCCGGGTAGGTACGGGTGTGTGCGTGTGTGTGTGTAAAGGTTTATGGTCATGTACTTTGCCATACAGGTAGATGTAGATGTCCCCACATGTCTGAAGTAATTTGTGTATAAAATAAGAGGGTTCAGCTGTTTTTTTGCCCTTTATTGTCTTTGCTAGAGCAGTGACAAGGGTATCACTTGGGAGATTAATAGAAATGTAGAACCCAGGCCCTCCTCCCAGACCTACAGGTGATTTACGTGTCCATTCAACACTGAAGTAGGCAGTGTTCCCTTATATTCCTGCAGCTTTGGCATTATAGGAGAAACCAATGATTAAGTTATCATAATTCTGGTTTTCCTAATTTTTTTTCTAAGTATCAGACTGAATTAAATTGGAAACATTCTCCAAGCTTTAAGAATTCCCTAAAGAATTTGAAAGAGGGTGAGGAAAAAAGCAGTAAAAAGGTGTTCTTGCAATTGTCCTGGCCTGTGATAAATACGGAGGTCTTTTTCTCTCTTCACTTGTATGTGACAAAGATTCTTTCCTTGGCCAAACTCTACTCAGGTTCCTCTGTGCAATTTTCCAACAAGGCCTGACTTTTGGACTTCTGAGTTCATCTCTGCATGGTCCAATTTTAGCACAAATCCGGCTAAGTCAGTTTAGTGAAAGCCCTGCCCCCTCGATATCTAATCAAATCCCTCATTTCCCATCCTGGATGTCTTATCACACTGGCTTGCCTTCAGCAGGGATCCTACTAAGTAGACTTAGCCGGAATACCGCCCGGATCCTTGATGTTTTCTCTTAGCAGTTTTTCACGGAGCGACCCTCACTGTGCTCCTTGGCTATGAATTCCTACATTTCCTTTTTACATTCGGGGTCAAACTCAATCTCTCTTCCCAATGCAAGACCCAATCTCAGTGGTCTTTACGTTTATCTTGATAGTCACCCCCCACCAGGCTTTAACAAAGTCTTTCTTACTGTCTTTAATAAGCATTAGAATAATTTTTTCTTTAATACATAATTATATTTGTTTTCTACCTGTTTGGGGCTTGTTTCTTTTTTTGTTGTTGTTTTTTCTTTTTTGTTGTTTTTTTGTTGTTTTTTTTTTCCTCTCATTTTTTCTCTATTCCATTAATTCTGAAAACAACTACCACCCTGCTCAAACATCTTCTCCGAGTCTTGCTTTCCCTTCAACCTGTTCAGGTACACGTCATCTATTCCATATAAGGTTTTCTTCTAAGACTTTATCTGAAAATAAGTTCTCTGGCTTTAAAGAAATAAAACAAGAAATTTTTCATCTCTAACATTTTCATATTTTAGTATTAGTTATAAAATAAAAGATAAATTACGAAAGAAAAAATATAAATAGCCGACAAGTATATTTAAAAGATTAATCTTTCTAGTAATCAAGAAAATGTGTCTTAAAACAAGATAGGATTTTTAAGCTATCAAGTTGACATGGATCATGCAACATACCTGTGTTTCTCAGAGTTTGAGTATACATTATTCACACTCTGAAAAAAGAAATACATTTCACAATTATTTTTAAATACAGTCTTTAATCTTTTCATCATATTTCTAGGAGTTCATAATAAGAAAACATTTAAGAATATAAACAAATATTTAGCTGAAGGGATAGTTATCAAAGTGCTGTCTTTATTAGGGGAGTAAAAAGAATTTGAAATGCCATAAGTATCAAATAAATGTAAATTAACTTCAGCTGTTTATGGTAAAATTGTAATGGAACAATGCTTAGAGGGAATGGTATTTACAATATATCAATTTTAAAAGATGTGTTTCAAAATAATATGAATCCTATTTTAGTAAAATAAGTATGCATATGTGAGTGTCCATGTACGTCTGCCTGTGTGTGTGTTTGTGTGTGTTGCTTGGGAAAAACATAAATGAGTTAATTTTTGCATTGGAATTACAAAGTTTCTAATTTAGATTCAGTATTTGTGGGTTTTTTAAGTAGGGAAAAAAATAAGAAAAAAAAGTATTGTTAAATTTCAAAAGTACAGAGTCTTTCTCCCAAGACTGATGACGGAAGAGGAAAAAGTAAAACCCTAAGAAAGAGTTCAGCTTTCCTTTTTCAATTTTCGGTTCTTCATTGTTTTTAGATGAAAACTCCTAATTAGCAAATCACCTTTTGATAAGCAATGAGTGTCCTGGTGTGGCCAAAATGCAATTACTGAGGCAATTAATTAGTCATTGAACAAACGTATAACTACTTTTGTCCCTTAAATAGAAAGAACATATAGGGTGTTTGTCTCTTCAGGTTTTCTCTATACCTGACTTCTGTTCTCTTTCGCAGTTAATAATACTTTTTCCAGTGGGTTCACGACAAAGGTATATATATATTTATTCAAACCACTCAGTCTGTCCATTTCTAGCAGCTACAGTAAAAATTCCAGTGTTAAAGTAGATGACAACTATTGATTAATGGTTGAGGAAAAAGCAATATTTTTTTCAATTGTTTTTCTCTGTCAACAACTAAGAAAAACAAAATACTAGGGAAATTATTGAATTGCTGATTAAGCAATGTTAAAATAAACACTAATACTTTGCAAAGTAAGATACAAATACATTACTTTTAATCTTAATTTCAAAACAAAATGTAATAAAGTTTAACAAATAATTTGCATGAATATTTTCTAATTTTTAAAAAGTCATTTGAATGAATTATGAAAAAACAGATAAGCAAAAGAAAATATAAGTTAAAATCATCCGTCATCCCACTGCCATAGGACACTATCCTTAACATTTGTATATTTACTGTTGTAGTCTATTTTCTATACTAAAATAGATAGGTGTATATAACATATATAACTTGAATCATAGTAAGCCTGTTGCTTCATAAGATTCATTCCATTAAAAAATAAGACATGAAGCTATTTTGTGGATTACTATCTTATAACAGAAATGTAATGGCAGCAGGATGATCCGCATGACAAGCTGATAAAAATTTATTTTCTTTTCCACTTTTTATTTTGAAATTTTAGACTCAGAATAGTTGCGGCAATAGCACAAAGAAATCCTAAAAGTCTTAAATTCCTGAATGTTAACATTTTACTGCATGTGTTCAGCATTCCCATGCATACTCTCTCTCTTTCCCTCTCATATGACTCCTTCTCTCCACAGACATATGTATACATGTGTACGTATATGTGTGTGTGTGTGTGTATAATACTTTCTAAAGAGAAAGCTGCAAACAGAATTACACTCTAAACACCTGAGTGTAATTTTCTAAAATGAAGGATGTTCTTTTACATAAACATTACAATTAATAAAATTAGTAAAATTACTTAACATTGATGCAATACTTCTTGTGATACACAGATCAAAGTTACAGAATAAATTCAAATTACTCCCATTTTTTCCATAATGCCTTTTATAGAGCAGGAATGTTCTTTTTCTTATCCAGAGCACAAGCAAGGATAACACATTGCATTAGTAAATCGGGTCAGAGCCAAATCATGGTGGACATTAAGATGTAGGTCTATTAAGAAGTTTCTACTTAATCTTATAAGAATAGAAGACATTGGAAGTTTTAAGCTCAGATTATCAAATTTTGTTTTTTTTTTTTTAAAGGCATTTCTGTTGGCATTACAGAAAACGATTTGGAAGAACAAGACTGTTTAATACATTTCTGGAGCAGTATGACACAAGAGGACAAGGCACCGACTATACAGATGGAGAGGAGGGGAAAATAAGAGATGAATCAAAATGACGTGTGCAAAGGCAGCTTCTGCTCCTCCATTCCAAAGTAGGAATTAAATAGTTTAAGTTTGTGATGGCAGACCTTTTCCTACCACTGGTATTCACTTATAAGGAAGACGACAAGAAAATTTCCTGCCTTCAACTTATGTTTGCAAAGAGTGTTTTAAGATTGAGTTTGTAACACATTGTGTATTTCTCAGTGAAAAAGGATAGTCCAGTTTAACAACTGTCCATTTCACATCTAAAAATCTGTTATACCATCACAGCCCCCTATTGTACGTCAAATTATGAAAGGCCTTGAATATCAGTCCCAAAAGGTCTTACTTTATCCAATAGCCAGCCTAATGTTAAAGATCATTCTTAGTTTTGCACTTAAATAAATGGATAGTGCTAAACTTCTGTCACTTAACAAGCTAAATTAAAGACTAATTAACAGCCTTATGAGTTAAAATGAAAACTGCACAATGTGTTTTACAATCCTATAAAACCTAACGAAATACATTCAATTAAAAAGTCTCATGTGAGAACGTAGGTTCTTAGGTCCATCATACAATTCAATCTGTACATCTTCCGGGAATTGAGTTAAAAATGCAGATTTTGATTCCATGGGTCTGGGGTGGGGTCTAAGATTTGTTATTTTAACATCCTGCCAGGGATTGTCCATGATGCTAGTTCCCAGACCACACTCTGAATAACAAGAATGTAGTAATCATTGATTGAGTCTCACTGGATAACACATTTTTACTTGGAGAGGGAGGTGGCACAGCAGGCTGGAAAGAGTACAAGGGTGGGAGTCAAGGATAAGTAATTCAAGAACTATCTCTGCCATGAATAAACTAGGTGACATGAGGCAGATCCTATGATCATTTTGGGCCTCAGTTTCCTCGATGTGTGTATCTGTAATGGAAGAGTGAACTGGTTTTCTAGGACATAAGGATGTTTTTAGCAAACATTTAACAAAATTCAAACCTTAATGAGCAGACATGCTATGGCTGGTTTAATTGCAGTAAGTGTATTTATTTAAAAATATTCAATGTTTTCCTGCTGAGAATGCATCTGAAATAATTACCATCTGATTATAAAGAAAATGGAAAACTAAATTACCTTCAAGAGAAAATGACCTCTTCTCTTCATAAAGTTGAAGGCTAAATGAAAGAACAAACAAAGATTATAGCCAAAGAACCATAAATCAGGTGATTAAAATATTCCTTCTCATATCCAGAAATATATACCCTACTTTTCTTCCTTAGGCATGGCTTTTAGCTAAATACACTGTTTTTGAATTTGAAATGAAGCAGTTTTTCATTTCATTTAAACATGTGGCTCTCAACTGATGGGACACAAAAGACAATTAAGTGTAGTCTATTGCAGAAGCATTCAGATTAGTAGGGGCAGAGTGTTCACAAGAAATCAATGGGGTCTAATCAGAACACTCAAATCCAAAAGTATATACCTTGTACATCGATGTTCATCAGGGATATGGGTCTAAAATTCTCTTTTCTTGTTGCGTCTCTGCCAGGCTTTGGTATCAGGATGATGCTGGCCTCATAAAATGAGTTAGGGAGGATTCCCTCTTTTTCTATCGATTGGAATAGTTTCAGAAGGAATGGTACCAGTTGGAAGTCCTGGCCGGGGCAATCAGGCAGGAGAAAGAAATAAAGGGTATTCAATTAGGAAAAGAAGAAGTCAAATTGTCCCTGTTTGCTGATGACATGATTGTATATTTATAAAACCCCATCGTCTCAGCCCAAAATCTCCTTAAGCTGATAAGAAACTTCAGCCGCATCCTTGAGGAATCGCACACCTGTCTTTCCATATGTGAACTAGTTTACAGTCCCACCCAGCTGTAAAACGTGTTCCTATTCTCACATGCCTCTCCCAGCCTGTTGTCTCCTGACTTTTTAACTGATTGCCCATCTCTACACTGGTGTGAGATGGCGATCTCCCAGTTGTGGTTTTGATTCATGCATTTCTCCTGATGCCCAGTGATGATAGCATTTATCATCGTGTACCTGTTGGCCCCTGCATACAATGCGTTCCCTTTCGTGAGAAGTTCCTGGTTCATATCCGTTCTGCCACCTTTCTCGCTGGGCGTTGCTTGTCTTGTCCTTCTTGTAAGAGGGGCTTGAGTCCTCCTCTCTGTAAGTTTCTGGATACTTAGCCCTTTGTCAGATGAGTGAGATTGCAAACAAGTTTGCCTCCCATTCTCCTAGGCCTTCCCCTGTTCACCCCTCTGATCGGTAGTGTTTCTTTTGCTGCTGCAGCAAGCTTGTTTAGTGTTAAATTAGATCCCAATCTTCTGTCACATTTCTGGCTTCTTTGCTTGCTATTGCTTTTGGGTCTTTAACCCATGACGTCCTTGCCCCACTGCCTTATGTCCCCAAACGTGGAACTTACCTAGGTTTGTCGTCTACGCGCGGTTTTTCCATGGTCTTTAGGCGCTCAACATCTTAAGTCTCTTAATCATGCTGAAATTAACTTGCTTTTCGTACATCAGGCTGTAAGAGGCGATCACGGTTTCAGCTCTTCTAAATATGGCTCAGCCGTCTTTCCCAGCACCCATTCTTCATCAAATAGGAATCGCTTTCCCCCACTTTCATGTTTTTGTCCCACAATAAACTTTCGCACACAGATCAATGGCTTGCAGATCTGTGTGGTCTTATTTTCTGAGGCCTCCTGCTTCTGTTCCTCATTGTGCTCTAAGTAAGCCTCTGTTTTCGGGTGACCAGTCCAT